CTCTCAAACTCAGGTTAGTGTGCATTAAGATCTACAATAGTTATGTGGCTGTAATGCAGAATTGAACATACTTTACCTTGAGTTGTTATAATTTGATCCGACAGACTTCATGTGCTAAGGACTTCCTTGTAGACTATGTTTTTCATGGTCGTTAATAAGGGTTCAAATCTTTTTCGCTTATTTGAAATCTTGCTTTGTTCCTTGCCCTTTCCCTTACCCTTGCCTTTACCCTTGCCGTTGTCCTTGATGGCGAGAATCTTAATGTTCCTCTTCGCGGTGGCTCTAGACAATTCAACGTAGAGCAGACCGTGAGAGAAAATCGGGTTTGGTAGGTACACCCGACAACCGCTGGGTTGTGATCTCGGTGTCCTCTCATATTCAACAACTAGTAACATTAATGTAGGGTAAGTTATGAAAGCTTATTGAGTACCTTTATGTGCATACATGTGATTGACATATACATACCTCTTTTCCCTTTGTCATAGAGATGCCCTCTGTCCTGTGACATCTTTGTGTCCTATAAAAGCTTTAAGTTCTTAACTAAACCTGCATTCTTTTGCATGAAAAAAATGATATGATATTTGTAACTGTATTGTACTGTAATTAAGAGGACTTTAGCAATATTCTTTATGGAACAGGGGTCTTCAATATGAACTTAAGTCTGGGAATTGAACAGGTGTCTATAATATGAAATTGGGTGAAAAGCATGTCAATCTCACGGCATCAATTCTTAGATTTCTTAACTTTGTTACATTTGCTTTCATTCATTTGCATAGAGTGGACTTGCTGCAAAGACAAGTTTGAGATGCCATGTCGCACCCGTCCACATTAGCACACATTATACATTTGTTTCATGTATTAATTCCCAGAAGTTGATGAGCCTAATGAAGCACCTTCACAATTTGGTAGCTAGTACATAGCCTAAAATCCTGCATGCTTTGTTCAATGTACTTGGAGTAGAACTTAAAGATGCAACCTGAGTACTATAATATTTTTTAGGTCACATCATGAAGTTCTGAACAGGAGTTTAGTATCTTTCTGATGTAAAAAACTTTGCTGAAACAATTGAGGATCGCAAACCTAGGGCATGGTGGGCACCGTCGAACATAACAAAGGTGGATCTCAGTCCTTTGTCGTCCGAGAGGCAGAAGACTGTAGGTGAAGAACTGTGAAGATGATGGCAGGAGCATGTAGCGGCGACATCAGGAGATAGACGCAGCAATAGCCGTCGAGCGCAGGTTCTGGTTCGGGGGCGCCGAGGTTGAGGTTCAGCATGCGAGGAGATCAGATCTTGATGGCAGCAGAGGCTGCGCTCGCACAGCTCGCATGAGAACGATGTGGCCGGACGGCGAGTGAACTGGCGATTCTCTCCTTGGCGTAGTGCGTCCGTGGGTCGATGGAGCTCGTACGCCAGGAAGAACTGGCGTTTCTCTCCCTGAAGACATGCATTCGTGGGTCGGTGGAGCTCGCAGGTGGTTTGATTTTTGACCGATGGACCTCGTTCGTGGGTTGAGTTGAACTGTTTTTTTTTGGCTGGTTTGCTGATCGATGGACCTCGTTCATGGGTTGAGGACTTCGTTCGTGGGTTGAGCCGAATTGTTTTTTTTTTGGCTGGGGATCTTGTACGTGGGCTGAGTTGGCCTTTGATTTTTGGGATGTTGCGGGCGTGGCCCATCGCGTGATGGCTGTCGTACGAGGCGGGGGGATCGAACGAGGTGGTCGAACCATTACGACGTTCGATCCCCTTTAATAGTAGAGATGTGTCCAATCTTCCATGCTACGGATCCTCGTCCCAGCCCATCTAGCGTCACCGATCGATATTTCCAATGCTAAAAAGATGAACCTAGCCCATCTTGCCTTCGTTGGTTTGTTGTTGCAAAGTTGAAACTATGGTGGCGGGGCCCTGGTGGTGTGCAATGACGGGCAGCAGGTGGTTCGTCCCATGGTCTTCTGCGGCGCCAGCCATGCCTAGTTCTCCTTCGTGGTTCTTCATCAGAGTCGGAGTTGCGCTGCCTGGTCGCCTGTGGCTGAGTTTGATGCGGACCTTCATGCATCTCCATACGGCCTCTTCGGTGTGGGCTGGGTTGACGTCCGCCTTCGGTGCAGTCGGAGTCGTTTGCTCTGGGTTTAGGGATGAAGATGACGCCTCTAGGGGAGGAGTGATGACGATGACACATGTGTGCTATCTCGACGAGACCCTCTTTGGGGTGGTGCGTGTGGGATCTTATTTGTGCCGCTCGACCGTTGTGATGATTTTCGCCTAATTTTCCATAATCAATAGAGCAACATGATTTTTTCGCTCGATTTTCCCCAATTAACCGAACATCTCTTTTCTTCTTAATGAGTATAGGATAACTGCCATTTTAAAAAAAGGTGATGAATTACCCTTCCCTGATGAAAGTACTTGCAAGAGAGAAAATACAACATGGCGAAAGTGAAAATCATGATTTTTTCGCTCGGTTTTCCCCAATTAACTGAGCAACTCTTTTCTTCATAATGAATGCAAGGTAACTGTCATTTTTTTTCTTCAAAAAGGTGATGAATTACCCTTCCCCGATGAAAGTATTTATAAGAGAAAAAATACGACATGACGAAAGGAAAAAAACAGGTTCTGATGGTGTTCGCCCGGTTCTCCGTAATCAACCGGGCAACATGATTTTCAATCGATTTTCCCCAATTAACCGAACATCTCTTTTCTTCTTAATGAGTATAGGATAACTGCCATTTAAAAAAAAGGTGATGAATTACCCTTCCCTGATGAAAGTATTTGCAAGAGAGAAAATACAACATGGCGAAGGGAAAAAACATCCTATTTGTATTTGGAGATGGGAGGTATCGATCCCCCTTCCTCTTATTAGCATACATAAGCGCTCAAACAATTTGAGCTACATCCCCAATTTTTGTTGTCTAAACTAATATAGAATATTTATATATTAGTGAGCTGTTATTGAGAATTAACCTGCAAGTGCAAATACACATACATTTTTGTTCTCTGGCTACCTTAATCATGTACTCCCTCCGTTCCAAATTACTTGTTGCAGGTATGGATGTATCTAGATGTATTTTAGTTCTAGATACATCCATTTCTGCGACGAGTAATTTAGAACAGAGGAAGTACGTAGAAGCGTGTGTGCAATCGTGTGGTCATGGCCAGTTTGATGATCTGTAGGAGTTGAGCTGTTCAGAGACGTACGAATTGTGTTGTTACCTTTCAGAAAATGACTGAAGGACATCAAAGGAGCCATCAAACTGACAAGTGTGGACCAGTTTCACATCAACAGCAATGGGTGCCCAACGCGTCGACCCATTGCATCCGCGCGCGTCTGTTTGAATCACGGCAGACAGAAAAATCGGCCCAACACGCCGACTCAAATAGACGCGCGTCCGCTTTTCGTCCGTATTCGCGGCCCAATTTTGAGCCTCATTTGCGTCGACGCGGACACGAGATAGACGTGCGCGCCACGCGTCAACTACTCCCCCTGGCCCGCCAGTCGGTGACAATGCGTCTACCATTTTCCTTCACTTTCCAAAAAACGCTTCCGCCCGCGCGTGCTCCCGGCCGCTCGCCATGGACAACGCCCTCGATGCCGCTGGCAAGGCGAAAGCAGTGACTCTCGCTAGCATGATGACAGGGGTGGAGATAATGAAGGTGGACCTCAACACCGTGTCGCCGAGGAAGAGGCCGTGGTTCAAGAAGATGCAGGGAGACATGCTCAAGTTCGACAACAAGTGATCTATGGCGGCCAGCGTCATCTCTTTTTGTATGCCGACAAGTATGCTGGCATGACCATGGTCGAGATGGCCTGGTCGAATTCCTGCCCCTTGTTGTGTGTTGGCAAGGGTGGCATCATGAATTGTGTGGTGTTCTTTGGAGCTGGCATTGCATGCCGGCCGGCATGAACTCTGGCTGATGGCATGGCCGCTGGCATGATATATGGCCGTGAGCCTTTTCAAATTTATGCGTGGACATGAAATGGGTAGCGGGCGTTGGACGCACTGCCGACCCAAATCATAAACAGAATGGACGTCAAGCGGATGGCCGACCCAAACATATAAAAAGCAGACAAAATCGCCGTCTGTTTAGGTTGGCGCGTTGGAGTTGCTCTTAGGTGCTTCCGTGCGAACTCGGCCGCTGGATCAAGATCTAACGGTCATCTGAGCTAGGCCGTTGGGTTAAGAGAAATAAAATCTAGGATTTCCTTATAACCGTATTCTGCAGGTTGTTTTCTTTTTCTGATGACTTGATGGCCTTATCACAAGGCTCCGTTCAAATTGCTCCCGCAGATCGTGGATCGTGCTATCCCTGCGGCAGGAACATAAGTCAGCTATTTGTTGTTGAATTCCGAGTCGAATTCTGTTTGGTCGCTAGGTAATATAATTGCTCCCGCGAAGCTCCTATACAGATTGGTTCTGTTTCAGTTTCATCATGGCAGACCATGGTGCTAATAGCAACTGGTCGGACCTTCCCTGGGATCTTCTTGACCGCATCCTGCAACACCTTGAGCTCCCCGGTGCCCTTGCCGTGGCAGCCGTCTGCACCTCATGGCGCTCCGCAGCGGCGGCTTCCGGCGTCCCTCGTTCCGGCACGCCATGGCTCGTGTCCCGCGATCCCGAGCGTCTTACGAGAACGGAAGGCAGCGAGTTCCGAAACGTCCTCGATCCCGGCAAGATGCACATGGTTAGTTATCCCCAAGGCCGGCGTGACCTCACCTGGTGCGGAGCCTCCCATGGCTGGCTCATCGCCTCGGACAAGCTCTCCAATCTTCTGCTCTGCAACCCCTTCACGTCGGCCACGATCCCTCTCCCGTCTATCACTGACCTGGAATGTGTCGAGGGAGTCCGTCCACCACAACGATGGAGACATTGCTGGCTATCGTTATGGGAACTTTGACAAGCTTATCACTCCTCCAGATTACATTGGCCGCTGGTTCTACCAGAAGGTGGCGTTGTCATGCGATCCATCTCCATCCCACGGCGGTGGTGAGGGTGACTACACTGCCATGGCCATCCATGGGAACAATCAGATTTCTTTTGCGAGAGCAAGAGAGAACCGCTGGCGACATGCCACGACGACGACTCTTGGTGAGATGGGCAAGGATTCATACGCTGATTGCGTCCACCACAATGGCAGATTCTACACGGTGACGATGCATGGGGCGGTCGAGGCATGGGATCTTGACAAAGGGCCGACGCATCAACCAGGCAAACAGGCGATCATCGCCGACGGGGACGGAAGACAGCGGAGGATTCTCACCCGGTTCCTGGTGTCCACCCCCTGGGGTGGTCTCCTGGAGATACGAACCCAGCGGCGCTCCGATCATCCCAGGAGGGTCAATGTTGAGGCGTTTGAGGTCGATGTCGAGGAGCGCAGGCTCGTCAGGCTGAGCTCTGCCACGGCCTTCCGGGAGCACGCGGTGTTCGTCGGGTTGAATGAGTCCGTATGCTTGGTTGCCAAAGAGTGTCCGGGGCTAAGGCCCAACCATGTCTACTTTGCCACGCCTTGGCTGACGCATGAAGAAAATTTTGGTGTCCAGGGCTGGAAAGGGGTGGTGATTTATGACTTGGAAAGCCAGACGTTCGAGCAAGTTCTTCATGCATCTAAGTATTCTGTATTTTGTCCCCAGCAGGTTTGGTTCATTCCAAATATCTGAAAGACGACCATACATCTCGATCTCGCCAGGTTGTGGCTGTTCTGCTGAAACTATTAGTTATCTTTGCTCGGTTTTATCTTGGATATTGGTCTCAGCAAACATTACAGTATTCAGTTCATGTATTTTGTGGCCATGCCAGTGTCTCCATTTTACTCAGACATCATTCTCTGAAGTATGGGTGTACACGGAAAGAGAAAACATACTATCATCTTCTAGAATCATGATGGTGGTCGGACTTGCCTGCGTGCTTGTTAGTTTAATGTGTTACCCATGATGGTGATTGTGTTTTTGGGCTGGCTTTCTGCATAATGATGAGATTGATTACCGGAACATACTTTTGATGCAACGCCGAGCACTAGAACTGATAACGAGGATGTGTTTTCTCTGGATTTACCCAGAGGTAGGCAGTTGAAACATGCTTGGCGTATGAATTTGTATTTTATATTCCTAGCTAATTTTAGGCCTGACCGTTAGGCCAAAAATATCGAGGGTTTTTTGATTCGCAGGATTTTGAAAACGCGGGAATAGAAAAAGTATAGAATTAGAGTGTCATGCCCACTTGAATCCTATAGGACTAGCAAGGAGTGTCTGATTTCACGGAAAAAACAAAGAAATTGTAAAAAGAGGTTGGAGTTTTTTTCCAAAAAGGGGACTCCCCGGCCTCTGCATCAGAACTACGCATACGGCCAACTTTTATTAAATAGCAAATAGTTCAACAGAGGTCTTAAAGTCAAAATGAAAATAAAAAAGAGCTCACAAAGAGCCTAAAAAAGCAACCATAGCGCCACAACCGGACGGCATAAACAAGATATGGAGACTAATTGCCTATCCTATTACATGACCGCCATCCAAACCGGTTGAAAATATCCCGCGCTACCATCTTCCATCGGATAGATCCAGTAACCAAACGCTCCCTGGCCTCCATCGGAGTGAGTAGCGACCACATACAGATCAACGCAGTGGCTCGGAATATAACCTGCAAAAAATGAAAATTTGTTGTTCTGTTAAAAACCAGGTCATTTCTGCAGTTCTAGACTGCCCACAATAAAGCACATACTGCTACGCGAATGTGTCTCGTTGTTTCGGTCTCTATCCCGTTAAGCCACGTTCCAAATAACGTGCTGAGAGCATTCAGAGGAGTAATATTAAAGGCTATGTGCACTGTCTGCCATAGCACTTTTGCCAGCGGGCAGTCAAGAAAAAAGTGTTTGATAGTTTCATACCGATCACAAAAACTACACCTAGTAGGTTCTGTCCAGTTGTGCTTTGCCAAATTGTCCTTGGTTAAGATGACTTGTTTATGTACAAACCACATAAACACTTTAATTTTCAAGGGAACTTTGACTTTCCAAACATGTTTTGAACTAGGAATGGAGCTAGAATTGATAACATCGAGATACATCGATTTAACTGTAAACTCCCCAGTCCTAGTAAGCTTCCAGCGCAACTGATCGGTTTGTTGAGACAGCTGGACCTCCATCAGTCTACTCACTATATGGAGCCAAGCTTCCGAACGATTACCGACTAGCGTCCTCCTAAACTGAATATTGAGGGGGATGGACTGAAGTACTGTTGCAACATACGCGTCGCGTCGTTGAACAATACTATAGAGCGATGGGTATTGAAGCGCAAGGGGTGTCTCTCCTAGCCAAGTATCCTCCTAGAAACGCGCGCTGGCGCCATTTCCAGTTAAAAACTTTGTCCTATTGAAAAAAGCTGATTTGACTCTCATCAGCCCTTTCCAAAAAGGCGAGCACGTCGGCCTTACTGTCACTTGGGACAAAGTTTTGGAGTGAAGATACTTACTACGGAGAATTTGTGCCCATGTGGCTTCACTCTCTACAGATAACTTGTACAACCACTTGCTGAGAAGACATCTATTCTTGACTTCAAGATTTTCAATACCAAGACCCCCTTGGTCTTTTGGGCGACAAATGATATCCCATTTGACGAGTCTGTATTTTCTTTTTAGCTCATCACTCTGCCAGAAGAATCGGGATCGATAGAAGTCCAGCCTTTTCCTAACTCCAACTGGAACCTCGAAAAAAGACAAGAGAAACATAGGCATACTCGTGAGAACCGAATTAATAAGAATTAATCGGCCTCCGTATGACATGAGCTTGCCCATCCAGCAACTCAGTTTCTTCTCAAATCGATCCTCAATACACTTCCATTCTCTGTTTACCAGTTTACGATGATGAATTGGTATACCTAGATACGTAAAACGTAAGGCCCACAATTCACACCCAAACAATTGCCTATAAGCCTCTTGTTCCTTCTTGGCTCTTCCAAAGCAGAACAATTCACTTTTATGAAAGTTAATCTTTAACCCAGTCAATTGTTCAAATAAGCATAACACCAGCTTCATATTTCTCGCTTTTAGCAAGTCATGCTCCATAAAGATGATAGTATCATCGGCGTACTGTAAGACGGACACACCTCCATCCACGAGATGAGGCACCAAGCCACCCAACTGAGCAGCCTCCTTAGCCCTTCCTATTAGAATTGCCAACATATCCACTATAATGTTGAACAAGATAGGAGACATCAGATCACCTTGTCTAAGGCCCTTATGTGTCTGGAAATAATGACCTATGTCGTCATTCACTTTAATTCCAACACTTCCTTTTGGCGTGAAAGATTCAACTTGTCGTCACCAGGCTTCATCAAAACCTTTCATGCGCAAGGCCTGTTGAAGGAAAGGCCATTTGACTTTATCGTACGCTTTCTCGAAATCCACCTTGAAAAAAACTCCATCTAGTTTTTTTGTGTGAATTTCGTGGAGCGTTTCATGAAGGACCACAACTCCTTCTAGGATGTTTCTGTCCGACATGAAAGCAGTTTGGGAGTGCTGCACCACCGAATGCGCAATCTGTGTGAGCCTATTTGTCCCAACTTTGGTGAAAATTTTGAAACTAACATTAAGAAGATAGATCGGCCCGAACTGCTCAATTCTCATAGCCTCTGTTTTCTTAGGAAGCAGGGTTATCGTTCCAAAATTCAAGTGAAATAGCTGAAGCTGTCCAGAGAATAAATCATGGAACATCGGTATCAAATCCCCCTTAATAATATGCCAACACTTTTTATAAAACTCCGTCGGAAATCCATCCGGCCCTGGAGCCTTATTATTTTTCATCTGTGAAATGGCTTCAAACACCTCTTTCTCCGAAAATGGGGCAGTCAAGATATCATTCTCATCTGCAGCCAGTTGAGGAACATCCTCAATCCTAGACTCATCCAGGGATACACAATTATCCTCCGGAGGTCCAAACAATTACTTGTAATATTCGGTTATGTACAATTTTAGGTTTTCCTGGCCTAGAATCGTTCTTTCGTCTTGTTCAAGCTGGAAGATTCTTTTCTTTCTGTGCTTGCCATTGGCGATCATGTGAAAGAATTGAGTGTTCGCGTCCCCCTGGACCACTTTGCGAACCTTACCCGTAACGCCCACTACAATTCCTCTTCACGGAGAAGCTCTTTCAATCTCATCTCCGCCTCAAGTTTAGCATGAAGCTCCGTGGTTTGTAGGATTGTGGACTCGGCTTTTAAATCTAGGGACTGAATAAGTGTAAGGAGCCTTTCTTTTTCAACCTTATAAATCCCACTAAGATGCTTAGCCCACCCACGCAAGAACTCCTCAAGTGTCGTATCTTATTCTGCCAGCGCTCAACCGAAGTCCTACCTCCTGCATCCTTAGTCCATTCCCTGGCTATCAGATCCAAGAATCCTTCTCTTTCAAACCACGCCAGTTCGAACGGAAAAGAGTTTTTGTTCCACATGTGGGTTGCCTCACCGGAGTATACCAGTAAAGGTGTGTGGTCAGAAATTCCGCACGACAGCGCCTAGACCGTTACCAAGGGAAATTTCTGTTCCCATTCGACGCTTGCTAGGACTTGATCCAACTTCTTAAACGTCGGGTTTGGCAAGGTATTAGCCCAGGTGAATTTTCTACCCGAAAGCTCTATCTCTCTCAGATCCAAGCTTTCAATAATGGTGTTAAACATGAACGACCACCTGCCATCGAAATTATCATTGTTATTTTCCTCTCTCCTTCAAATAATGTTTAAATCCCCCCAACCAAGATTGGAAGCTACTCAGAAACGCAAATCCGAACAAGATCTGCCCAAAACTCCAGTTTGAGTTCTGGTTGCGCGGCACCATATACCGCCACCAGTGCCCAATTAAACCCATCGGCCTTTGACCTAACCCGAAACTTCACTACAAAATCTCCCATGACAACACTTCGCACTTCCAGTGATTTGCATTTAACACCAAGTATGATCCCACCCGATCTTCCTCTCGGAGGAAGGCAGTGCCAATCAAAATCGACACCTCCCAATAAAGTATTGAGAAACTAGGGTGAAAAATTATCTCTACCAATTTCCGAGAGAGCAATAAAATTCAACCTATGCTCAATGGACGCATCTGCAAGAAACCTTCTTTTAGCCAAGTCTTTCAGACCTCTGCTATTCCAAAAGATTCCTCTTATATTTCATCATGAATTTTTTTAGTAGTACGGATCCGAGTGCTCCTGCGCACTGCCGAAGCAGGGTAGATCTTCCACTTCCACTTGCGTTTAGGTTTGTTTTGATCCTCCACCCGGTCCTCACAACCGGGCTTCGTGGATCTCACTACTACCGCTTCAAAAGTATCATCCTCTTCCTCTGACTCAGGAAGGGATGGAGCGAGAACCGCACAAAAATTATCGAGCACCCTAACTCTCAACTCATTTATATCAGAGTCATTCATGGGATTGACCGCTGCTAAATTTTGAATCATTTCTAAAGTGTGTTCCGCTTCCAAATCCAGGATATCATTAACCGATTTTGAAATTTCACTATCATTAATACCTAGTGAAACTCCTAATTGATTTGCATTATTAATAATCTCATTATCAGAAAAATGCAATATGGAATTAGAAGTGTTGACCGACATACCAGTAGTGACATCAATGTCACGAAGCTTGGCCGTCCTCACGGCACATCGCTTCTGCATGTCAA